AGAAAGAAAAATACATGCCAAATTCATTGATAACTTGTTAGTACATATTGTTTTGAGAAAATTTGACCTCACAAGGGTCTACATTACATCATAATAAAAGATAATGTTTTGGCAGTACAAAAGCCCCTTTTCGGACTAGTGTGATCACTTAGTCACGGGGTCAACCTATTCGCAATAAAGAGTACCACCAACGCATACTCGAAAACCTAGATTTATAACAAATCATGAGCAATGTGGACACTACTTGCGGTTGGTGGCATCTGGTCCACGGTGGCTCTGAGATGAGTTCGAGGCTCCCTGAAGCTCCGCAATCCGGCATTCGGCCACGATCACTCTCTCCTCGAGAGCTGCATGCCTCTCTTGGTACTCCCTTACCTCCACTCGAGCAGTGGTAAGATCCTCGATGACTTGGTCCAATGGATAGAAGTCCCTCTCCAAATCCTGGGTGTGTGCATCGGTGGCTGCAGTAATAGAACTAAGATTTCGATCCTGGTCTACCATTTCCCTACTCCGGTTCCCGAAGTTTGTGATGTGTCGGACCATAATGGGGAGGGCTCTATTAGCCGGTCCCCCGTGACTGAGGTCATAGTAACCTCGTTGGTCGCCATATGGTGACCACTGGCGTTGTTGCCAGCTCTAACTCTCGATCATGGTTACCAAACAAGGCTCAGGCCCATTGTGACCAAAACGGTACGCAGGCACCCTGGCGATGTAAGGAGGGTTGAAGACTTCCTCCTCTGGTTCTTCTTCACTTTCGTCCTCATCCATGTCTACCTCGTCGTTTTCCTCTTCTTCTTCTTCGTCTACCTCTTCTTCTTCTTCTTCTTCGGGTTCTTCTTCGGGATCCTCTTAAGGGTCCTCTTCAATCAGCTTTTTGGGCTCTTCTTCAATCCATCCTGCATTTCCCTGATTGGGAAAGTATGGGTCTCCTGGTAAGTGGAATCATGTCATGTTGTCTGCGCGAGAATAGGGGTGTAAGAAGCAGATAGTGGTTAATAATAATAACATTGCGATATAGCAACATACAAATACTCCAATAGTATTTTAAATGTTTAGATTTGGTTCTTAGAGCATTCTTTGTAGGGTGAAGTTAGGTTATTAGATTTGTTGCCCCCTACGACTATCCCCCGGTATGAGTAAGTCACTTCTCAGACAAATATAGTTGATCAGGCTATATCATTCCTAGAACTGATTACTCATAACAAGGCATACTCATAGCATTCAACTCCTCTTCTTTTAGTTTATGTTCTTCTAGTTATGACACTACGGAAGTATGTAATGCATGTAGGTATACTTTTAAACAAGAAACTATTCATTTTCTAAAAGTATAACTCATTAAAATGTGTTAAAATCAGAGACTCTTAGTCCCAAAAGTGTTTATAGTTTGTATATCCTGCGTTGTTTGATATACTTAATTCACTATAAACCATGCTCTAATACCAATCTATCACACCCCCAAAACCAAGGATGGCGGAAACATCCGGGGGTGGAGGACTTCATGTATAGTATCATAACAACAATTCACTACTAGAAAAACAGCCTTTCACGACGCTCATTGCGCGTCGTAAAAGGCTCAGACGATGCGCAAATGCGCATCAAAGAAGGCCCTGTCATAAAGGAAGACGACACACTTTTGCGCGTCGTCTATAAACGACGCGCATTTACGACGCTCATTTACGACGCGCATTTACGACACGCAATGCGTATCAAGGAAGGCCCTGTCATAAAGGAAGACGACACGCGTTCGCGTGTCGTAACCTTACGACACGCGTGTTAATGACACGCAATGCGTATCAAGAAAGCCCCTGTCAAGAAAGGCCATGTCATAAATGAAGATGACACACATTTTTGCGTATCATAATTTTAAATGTTTAAAAAAAGTATTATTTATAAATTTACTAATTGTCAAATTAAATAATACATTAAAAATATCATAATACAAAATCAAATACCATAAATAACAAAGATAATTCATTTCACTAGTATGTTAAATACAAATAATTATTCCAATAGTGAGTAAATGTTATAAAAAAATGAGCTCATTTATATACAAGTGCATTATCTAGCTTACTATGTGCCAACAACTCTGTGTGTGTTTACTTTTGCTTGAATCTCGTTTCCTCCAAAGCTTCTAGCCATGCCAAAATATGATATCTTAGGGTTCATGTCCAAATCAAGTAAAACATTGCTAGCTTAAATTCATCAAGTCCTTGGCGTGAAGTCTTAGATAGAATCTTAACTGCAATCTCCAATCCTTCTAGCAGACCCTAAAGATCATTATTGGCCATGTACCAGGATCAACCTGCAATCTGTTATTACTTGCAGCATCTTCTGCCTGTTTGACTAAGGTTGTGCCTTCAGCAACAACATGCTGCATTGCGTCAAAAAGATAAAAACAAATGACAACAAATACAAATAACTGCATGCTACTTTTAAAAAAATAGAATCCAACTCCTAAATCACAAAACCTTTTTAAACATACAAGAGACAGCATCCAATCCATGGGGTATTTTTGGAAAATAGTCTGAACATTCTTGACAAATCATCAACCTGCAAGTGAAGGGTAGAAAGGGAATTGGAGCTTGGTGATGCTCATGCTGGTAATTGAAGCTTCAAACGCCAAGCCAGGTAGGTGATGCTCATGCTAGAAATTGAAGCTTGGAATTTCTTTTCCAATTGTACGTACACATACACATGAGATGAGAATAAGAAACTACTATATTTGATTAGGTTTAGCTAATAATAAGCTAAGGAAGAGGAATGTGCTAAGAAGTTATTATGTGTAGAATGAGAAAGAATAATAACCAAAAATCATGTCTTAGACTTATTAACTTTTCACCTATTTGTCTTTCTTCCTAAAAATATTCATTTGATCTGAATAAATATTATGAAACTTGGTTTATTGAAAGCAAGTATTAAATGGTCATGGTCATGGTCATGTAATTTACTAGTAGTCTTATTCAATCTGGAAAATTGCAAATTTTGTCCCACTGCCACCCAGGCGAAGAGTAAAGACGTAAATGCCCTTCCTCATAAAGCCTGTGTTATTATGATTATGCTTAAAGTAAAAGACAGAACAGAAAGAATGGGAATGGAGGTTGAGTACCTTATGAAGTAATAGTAGAAGAAATCAGCATAAAGAGCTGTTTGTATTAAGCTAGAGAAACAGGCTGAAAACAAACAAACAAACAAACAAACAAACAAAAAAGTCAAATGAAATACATGTATAGATAATAAGAATAAGAGAAAAGCTTTAACTTACAAATCCATCCATTGAAATGGGGCTGTGTGAGATACCGACAAATCCAGTTGAGAATATTCAATGCACGGTATGCCCTAACAATACAATGCAAACAAACAGATTTTCATTCATAGCATCCTATTTTCTAAATGATTATTATACTATTTTTGATCATTTAAAAAACCATTTTTCATGGTTATCCAACTTCATAATGATATCATGCCAAAATATAGAAGGGAGAATACCCAAGAAAGAAAACATATTGACCGATCAAATTGTCAACATTCCACTTCGCTGCAGCAGAACCAACTGTGGGAGAATAGCAACAGCTTCCAAATAGATAGAAAATGCCCAACATATCTGCACATTCCTAATAATATTAAAACTGTACAACCTTATCTATTGCTACATTTTTATATCTTTATAACACTCCAATTAGGCTAAGCTTTTTTTGAGGAGGGCATTCAGGTCTTTTGGACAAGAGCCAGTCCATGTTCTTTTCATATCTTCTTAATAATCAATATAACCACACTTATTCTCATATATAATTTTGTACTGATTAATTGATTATAACATGTTTCAGCACAAAGACAATGAATTAACTTAACTATAGTCTGCTTATAATCCTGGCACAAGGTGAAATCTTTATAACATCGGGTGAGTCCACACTGATATTCATACATAAAACAAGAGCAACACATCCTGTTTTCATCTACAGTTAAAAAACATCATTTTAGATCTAACTATAAAGAAATACACTACCAATAACAACCCAACAAATCATAGCCTCTGATTTCAAATGCATAGCTGTATTAGCAACGAATGATCACAATTACAAGAACAGCAACATTAATAGCATGTTGGGTTTAGCATATAGCAACAGAAGCCTCTAGCAAATCTCTAAAGCAAATTACTTTGACGATCATGTGAACTCCAACTAACAAAACTAAACCACCCACTACAAGCTTTTTGCTTAATAACTGTTGGTGCAAGTAAGCCAAGTATGGCAAAATACAGCTTTATGTGGCAAGCATACATGATTACAGGTTACCCTACTCATCTAATCAGTAATAGTGGGAACTAATAGGTCCAACAGAAACAAGGCATATACCTTGTCTGATAGCATATTATCTCATAAGCATATAAAATGCAAAAGGAAATCGAAAATGATGAAAGGGTAAATGCAGGAAACAACAGACACTACAAACCAAATTACATTTAGTGGCACAATCTTTTAGTGGTATATTTTTTTTATGCCACTATATTAGGTTTCTAGTGTCACATATTTTTATATGCCACTATATCATGTTCGAAAGTTCTAATTTTTGTTGAGCACCTGTTATATTTCCTTCTAATTATCATTTCACGCTCCTTATTCCCTCCACCATTGAAGGCGTTGCACATACCCCTTTTAAATTCTAGGTCAAAACTCCAAAACAGATTTGAAATTTTTGGATCCCCTGAATTCGCAATCACTTCCGATAACCAAAATCCCCATCACTCTTGTGTATCATCTCCTTCTTTGCTGCTGGTTAAATCTTAACATCTCGTTTGTAGAAGCTCATTCAAGACCAAATCTATCTCGGTATCTCACAGTTGATTGAAGATTTCTATATCTCATCATCGATTTCATCTTGTTTTTCTGCCTGTTGAATAGGTCGGGATTTTGGATCCTCTACATTCATCTCAAACCCTATATCTTGAGTTGTTGGATTCCATTGAAAATGTAATCGGAAAATCCTGCGATCTCTCCCTATGTATGACAAATCTACCCTTCAATCTCACCCTTGGCCTTCTCCATCCTGTCGAAAGCTCTCCATTAACACACTCTAAGGTTTGTCTCTACTCTATTCTCAAATTTTCAGATTTTCGATGTAAATTGTTGTTGGTCAGAACTTTTTTTGAGTTTATTTTTTAACCTACATTGTTGGAATTTGTTGTCGTTTGGATGTTTTTGGCATTTCTATTTCAATATTAATCGAATATCCTTCATGTTTAGAGATGCACATCAAGTGCTCGGGTAAATTCCTGAAACGAATACCACTATGAGTTTAATTTTTTTGCTATTATATAATGTTTTACTCATTCATTGCACATATATACCCATGATATTTGCTTTTCTGTCACGAATCCTAAAGTTTATAACCAGTATACATATGAAGCAAAAGATGCTTGTATTTTTATTGCCTTATTCATAACTAGAAGAATCTTTAGCTAAAATTATATTTCAAATGCAGGTAGGTTGGTAACATTCACATACAAATGACTGAGCGACTTATACAAGAAGTTTTCTGAGGCACTGGTCCAACAATGGGAAAGGAATTAGAGACTAGAAATATGAAAATTAGGGAAGATGGGGAGGAGGAACTAAATGTAGACGTGTTGAGTGAGAAGAAAAACATGAAAAAAAGCTTCAAGAATTCCAATGAGGATCCAAAAGTCTAAACCTGTAGCAAACGAAGGGAAGCAAAGATATATCTCTCCTACGTGATTCCATTTTTGGATACATTTTGGTTACATTATCAGGTTAATTATGAGTTATGAATTTTAATTTTAAAAGAATAAAATAACTTAAAAACAAAATTGCTTAATTGTCATTGAGTTGTTTCTAATTATATTTGTTGATAAATTGTTTATTCTTGGATTTACAGGAAAGAAGAGCTCAATTTGACCAACTTCAAGTTGAATCTCATACGCTTCTAAGAGGTGATTGCTTTAGTTATGCATCATCACTTTGTGTAACATAATAGTATAAATGCATTATATTTAATTTTATTTGATTGATCTGATTTAATTAAATGTATTTCATTTGTTAGAAACTAGAAGTGCTTATTGTCTAAAAGTTGATATCATCTATTATGGAAATAAATAAGACAAAAGAAGCTTGAGGTGCCAAATAAGTAAGTGTTTATGTTTCTTTTTTTTTTGGATGAAATATCTACCTAGATTTGGATGATATTACATTTCGATGATGGAATTCCAAGTTGGCTGGCAATGTGTCATTTGTCCCATAAAAAATGTAGCTAAATTTAGTGAAGACCAAAAAATTCACTACTATTGTTGGTTTGGAAGGAATTGATACCTTATAGCTTTCAAGCCTTATTCTTCTATTGTAATCATATTACATGCTTTATACCCTCAGAGCCCTCTTTAACAAGCTATGGAAGGGTGGTAAGCATTTTATTAATTTTGCATGTCTTGTTTTTATTCAAAAGTCTTATTGATCTAATTTTATTCATTTGTTATGTAGGTATCATTCAGAAACAAAAGAAGAGATGTGAATCAAGTTTTGTGTTTATTCCCTAAAAAGTTTTAGTTCGATAGTATTATGTTGTTAGTATTAGTACAACATTTATATTTATTAAATCTTTTTGAAGACATTTGTATTATAAATTAGTTATTGATAGTATTTTTGTTAGACAAGTTTGAATTTACTTAATGGTATTATGATTTCATTCATTATCTAAGTTCTCTTATTATTATTTTATATTACCTTTAAAATTAAAAAAATTGAGACCTAATTTGTTAATATAATTGTGTTAAAAAATTCCATAAAAAGCATAGAAATAATATTTAATTTTAGAGTAAAATAGTGGCATCAAAATAGTGCCACTAAATCCTACAAATATTTTAGTGGCATAATAGAAAAGTGCCATTAAAGCTCAATAAAGTTGCAGTGGCACAACGAAAAATTGCCACTAAAGGCCTTTAGTGGTAGCGTTTTTAGTGACACTTTTTTTTTGTGCCGCTGATTATCCAGGGGGGATTTAGTGGCACTTTTTCGGTTTTTAGTGACACTTTTTCTGTGCCACTAAATGTCGTTTTATTTGTAGTGAGATTACCTGGTCCTTAGGCCGCCATTTGGAGACCAACCCACTTTCAGCAGGAAACAAGATCACCACTAGCAAATACACACTTATAAACTTCCAACCCAAGAATCTCTTCATTCAGTTTCATCAAGTGGCTTACATATACTTTTTAGCCATTGCAACTCTCAATCAGCTTCCTCCTCTTGTAGTCTTTGGAAGAACAGTCTCTCTCTTCCCTCTCCTTTTTATTCTCACAGTAACTGCTATAAAAGATGGATACGAGGATTGGAGAAGACACAGATCAGACAGAAATGAGAACAACAAAGAATCTCTTGTGACAATCCCTTGTGACATGGTGCTAATGTGGATAAGTGATCCTAGTGGCATTGCTTACATACAAACCATGAATTTAGATGGAGAGTCAAATTTAAAGACACGTTATGCTAGACAAGAAACATCCTTAATGCCATTAGGGTCAATATCAGGGGTAATTAGATGTGAACAACCTAATAGAAACATATATGAGTTCACAGCTAATAGAGTTAAATGGTTATAAAGTTTCCCTTAGTCAATCAAACATTATATTATGTGGGTGTCAGATGAAAAACACAAAATGGGTTATAGGTGTTGTTGTGTAAGATGGACAAGAGACAAAAGTTATGCTAAATAGTGCAATTTCCCCTTCAAAAAGAAGCAGACTTGAACAAGCAATGAACTCAGAAACTATCTGGTTATCTATTTTTCTATTCATATTGTGTCTTGTTGTTGCTATTGGGATGTGTTTATGGCTGATGAGTCATCAGGATGCAATTGATACGATTCCTTATTATAGAAAGAGCTATCTTATAAAGGGAAAGTTTCCAGGAAAACCGTATAAATACTATGGGATTCCAATGGAGATGCTTTTTGCGTTTTTTGAGTTCTGTTATTGTGTTTCAGATCATGATTTCGATATCTTTATACATCACCATGGAATTGGTTCGATTAGGTCAATCTTATTTCATGATAGAAGACAAACACATGTATGATAGCAGTACAAACTCAAGGTTTCAATGCAGATCCTTAAGTATAAATGAAGATTTAGGTCAAATTTGTTATGTGTTTTCTGATAAAACTGGAACACTTACTGAAAACAAAATGGAATTCAGAAAAGCTTCTATTTTGACACGTGTATATATACTGTGTGTTTACTTGATTTCTTCAATTTTACCCCAGACCATGACTATTGACTAGCTTCTAAAAATCAGGTGTGCATGCTGAAATAGTGTTGACACGTGTATATATACTGTGTGTGTGTGTTGAAGAATAGTTGAAATGAAAAACTTACATGCCAACTAGAAATGGCTCTACATAAGAAAACAAGTGAACTTAAATCCACTGATGTGTTCACTTTCACCTGCAAACCAAAAAAACATAAGTAAGTTTCTGCTTCAAATCAAATCAAAAGTCTAAACCAAACAAAAGCAGATGCATTCCATTGCACAGAGACCTCGAAAAGCATCCTCCTTTTGAATATCATCCCGAATTTTGTTGACATTAAGAAATTTAAGTATTGTCAAATGCTGTTTTAAGTAAAAATTCTAAGAAAAAGGAAATGAGGTTGAAGTTGTAAAAATTTTGGGACTTACATGGCTAAAGCAATATGCCATGCTTGCATGAAATGCTCCGTGTGAGGTGATACAAGCTGAGGACAAACTCATGCATGTTTACACAGGGTGATTGCACTATTTAAAGTGACTTATTAAGCCCTTCACAAATAACATCAAAAAATACTAGATGATGATACAACCCATGTTGGTAGAAGCTCCACCTGGTCGACTAGACCCGTTGTTGTTGGACCGAATTACCCCTCCACTAGTCTTGGGTGTGCCGATACTGAACTTGTTTTCATCTATCATAACAGCAAGAGTCATGGCTCTGGCGAAGTTTGCTGGCTGTAAAATACGAACGGCCGAACGTGTGTCATCCTTGAGACCATTAATGAAGGTACCTTCCAACACGCTTTCTGGTATGTCTCCCAATTGACATGACAGTCTCTCAAAATTGCTTACGTAGTCACGTACAGTTCCTTCTTGTCGGATGGCGAGAAACTGATGATAGATATTGCCTTCACCTGTTAACTGGAATCGCTCCAACAACCGTTCTTTTAAATCCTCCCAAGAGCGGAATGGGTCCCTTGCTTGACTCCAACGAAACCAAGCCAGCGCCTTGCCGTCCAAGCAAATCGATGCTGCCTTCAAACGATCACGTACTCCAATGTCTTGGATCTCAAAGAAACGCTCCACCTTATAAATCCATCCAAATGCGTCTTCCCCTTCGAAAATAGGAGCTTTAATCTTCCGAAATTCTCCCATTTGTCGACCCCCACCCTTGTTCTTATCGTCCTTGGGTCCCTTTTTGAAGGATCCAAACTCGAGCTCAAATTCAGGATCTTCCTTGTCCTTCTCCTCCTCTTGAATGAGTTTCCCCTTGACAGTTTTCATCAAGTTATTGATAGCTTGCAGGACTTCTGTGAATTGTGCATCATTCTCCTTCTTGGCGAGGTCAGCTTCCTCTCGAAGCTTGGTAAGATCCTGCTCCAGGGCTGCAACACCTGCCTCCAATCCAGCTATCTTCTCAGAATTTGTTTTTGACATGTTGGCACCAGAACCGTAGCAGCTTTGATACCAATTAATAGGTTCAAGATCCTAACCCGCAGGTAGGAACCTTAACCAGGCCTCCTGTAGTTCGAGAAACAGGGAATTCTCCAGCAAATCGTCTAAGACTTTTATTCCAGCATAAAATGTGATTTATCCCTAGAACATTAATTATATAGTCGTATTAACCTAATCATAATCCAAAACCAGATCCTAAAAAATAGGAATTCTAAACTAAATAAAAAAAACTACTATTCTAATTAAAAGGAAAGCTAAATAAAAGGAAAACATTTAAAAATTCTTTCTTGAATCTTGATGATTATCCCTTCATCGATATACTTGACCAAAACGACCAACATGGGTCGTATCAAATGATTCAGATGATAAACAATAACAAATAAATAAATAAAGGACATTTGACACTTATAAAAAAGATAACTGATACTTGTCGCCATACCAGTTACTTAACAGCAACCTCAAGAAACTCAGCTAGGCGTGGGTGCAAATGAGTTGGACAAACCTACTAAACAAAAAACACCAAAAAAAGTTAATATATAGTTAACATAAACCATTGTTAACAACTAGGCGTAATGAAATTGGATGACTATATTCCCAAATTACCCTTGCCAGGTCTCCAAGCAATGCAAATTGATATCTCGTACAATAGTTTTGAGTCCAACACCATCAGCGTGTGCTTTTGAGTGAATTCCTTGGGATAAGCCTTCCATATACACTCTGTTATCCCTTTCCTTTTTGAACAAAACACCATAGCGAGACTCCAAATATGTAATAATAATCGATCGATAGAGTTTCTACATAAGTTGTAGGTGATCAAAAATGGCGGAAATTAGGAAATGTAAATTGTACCTTTAGCGAGATTAGGGTAAAGCCATCACGAATTAGAGCCATCATTACCTGTGGGAGACCTAGGGGAAGTTGATCACCTCTATCCACCTGCCAAAAACGTGAATCGTCTTCCCGTAAGTTTTCGGCGCTTTCTCCCGATCTTGCCGCTCAACCGGACCAGGGACGCCTGGAAGGAAAAGGACGTCGCTCTTCACCTCATACTTGTGGATGTGCCACATCGGCTTTTCTGAGTCCGGCAAGGTTAAGAACAGTTTTTATGTTATGATGTTTTCAACTCCTATTAACCGGGAATCGGCGACTGGACGATCGTAGATCAAGCACTGTCTCATATCCTCGTTTTGATGGCGACCGAGATGGCGGCATAAATGGAAGGGGGATATCAGAGCACAAAATAGAGAGACAGGGGAGACGGGAGAGAAAAGAGTCGAATGAGTGTTTAAAAAAGCCCTAGAAATTATCCCAATGATTTTCTGATATATGAATTGTTGAGGCATACAACAGAGATGGTATCGTGATTAGGGTTTGCAGAGAAAAGGGAAGAATAGAAAGAAAGGGATCTTGAAGCGGGGTATTAAAATTTTTAAGAATTTTGAGGGGATTTCCTTTCCCCTTACAAGAACGCGCGTTTTAGTAAAAATCATAAAGCGACAATCATAGAGGGCGCACGTTTTAGATAAAGTGCCCTCCGTGTTTTTTTTTTTTTTTTTTTTTTTTTTTTTTTTTTACATTAGACACTAATTTAAGGGCACGTAATAATGCGTGACCTAAACAATCAAATTTTTTGAATAGACGACACGTTTTTATTGTCACTCTCATTTGCGTAACATAAATCAGTGAGCGTCGTGATTTGCGCGTCGTGAAAGGGTCTTTTTCTTGTAGTGATTGCAATAGTGATTTAAGCAAACACAACCAACATATATATAATTGAAGGAGTTACATCATTGTTGAAATTACATGTTTCAAAATCAATTACAATATGTTGACAAAATATGAAATGTTTGACGCCTTAACGTCCCATCCTCAAAATGCGCTTGATTTCCTGTTTAGTGATTTCCTGAGAATACAAGTTGGTTGAAAAAGTGTCAACACAAAGGTTGGTGAGGTCATAAGTTTTTAAGATAAAGAGTTTCGAAACCGTTCTTTGTAATGTGTTGTGTGTCACCAAGAAAAATCCAATATTTTTCTTTAAAAAGTTACGAGGTCCTAAATCCCAGAACCAAGAATGAACAAGTATTTTCTATACTTAATGGTATAACTGTAGTTTTAAATTGGCATAAAACCCTTTTTGATATGAAAGCGTACAAGTATTTTTTTCATACTTAAAGTAATTTCTGTGAGCTAAATCGACATAACTCGCTAATTTGAAGTTAGATCCCGTAAATCTTATGATTTGTTAATACCACATGTGAGCTATCATAACCATACTTGACATAGACGGCCTCGTAATACGACGTTCTTCAGGCGTCGCTGTTAAATGACACTTGTCACCACAGACCTGCCGGTCTAGCTGTTGCAAGCAACTCAGGTGTGGGTTTGTCAAACCCAATATAGATCTATACACAACTATCACGTTCTCCTTACAAGAGAGCCTAGTTAGAATTTACAGGACTTTTTGACTTTGTTACTTTGGAAGTAACCCGAAGTGAATGACTCACAAATTTATTCATTAATAGATTTACGTGAACTAAACTGAAGACCTTTGAATAATAAGTTTGAGAAGTAAATGATACATAAAATATACCTATTATAGTTTATCTGAAATGTTTGTAATGTATAAGTACTCTTTTATGAAAACACATTAGTGTTATAAACACAAAATTTATGTTTATTATAACTTAATATATGTGTTCTAAATGAATGTATAATCATATCATAAATGAGTAAGTTTCAGTTTATGATGATAAACTAACAAGGAAACACATTCAATATTTAGAACTTATTGTTATACACTTTGCTCAACATAATACAAAATGTGATGAAAGTTATAAGTTGTTAACAAGTTTTTAACCTTTCTGCATCGTTTTATAAAAGTCATATAAAAATCATACGAATTCAAAAACTAAATCTGTAAATTCTGAGAGTTCCTATAATGTGTCTAGTTTACTCATAATTTTTATCATGATTTTTAATGACTTCCAACTTGACTGAAAAAGTCCATAATCACAGACTGGTCCGGATGGGTGATTGAATTGATAGGCAGTTTTGTAAAAATCACCATAAATTGTAGAAAAATCGTATGGAGATGTGCAAGTAGTCATTTTAAAGCTAAGAACTGGAAATACTTGCACCTAAAACAGTTTTGAAAACTAATATGTTAAATTTTTCCAAAACAGTCCGTGAATGGATTCCAACTTTTCTGATGAAAGTTGTTAGAAAAGTTTAGTTATGTTCTTGGTGTTTTAACTTGTATTCCCCCCCCCCCCCCCGCCCCCCCCCCCTAAAAACTTAAGAAAACATGAAAATGTAGGGGTATGAACTCACCTTGAGTGATTTCAGTAGATGATTGTCGAAGAATGGAAGTGATTAACTCAAGAACACTTGAAGATGCCTTGAGGATTTTCGAGAAATCTAATATCAAAGTGATGGAGTTTGTGTAACCAATCAATGATTTGAGTAGAATGATGTGAAATAATCACACGGAGGAGAATTATACTTACCAAGAGAAGAATAAAGCTTGAAGATCAGCCTTGGAGTCTTGAAATAGAGAGAAAAAGTTTGAGAGAAAAGTTGTGTTTAATTTTTGGTAAAATGAGAGCAAATGAAAGAAAATGAGGAGAGAGGTTGAGTGACCACCTCTAAAAACGTGGGGATGACTTGTGAGAGAGGTAAAAAGTACAAGGAAGTGACATGTTATGGTGGGGAGGAGTGTGGGTTAGGCATGGAGTGGGTATGGGGGTTGCTTGTGTCATAATACAAAGATAAGTCAACACTCCACCTCTTGTGCTTCACCCACTCTTCTTGGAGAAGACTTATCCCCAAAAACGTGGATAATTAGTAAATATGGGGTCTTATATGTTAAAATAAAGTTTTGGGTGAAAATCCCGCGTTAAAATAAAAAACGGGCCTAAAACGCAAAACTAGTCGAAAAGTGGGAGAAAATAAGCTTCCATGCGGACCTCTCAATCCTGGCCGAGGTTCGGTCCCTTCTGATCAAGCGCCAAAGGTGAAATGGGGAGAAGATCTAAGATGCGAAATGGAGAGAAATAGACCGAAATGGACCGAAGGTTCTGTCCGAGGGGAGGGTTCGGTCCTTATGCGAGGCTCGGTCCGAAGGGAAGGTTCGCTTTTGATGCCTTCGCTTCTGACAGGTTCGCTTCTGACAAGTTCGGTTCCTAAGAGGGGTTTCGGGTCCTTAAGAGGGTTCGGCTCCTTAAGAGGGGTTTCGGGTCCTTAAGCCCTTTTTGACCGTTTTTGCCCTGTTTTAAGTGGTTTTTGACCCGGTTAAGGATCGGGATGGCCCGAAAGACTACAAAAAGTTTAAGGAACTTTGAGAGAGATTTGTGAAAGATTTCCAATTCTTGGAGAGATTTATCATACAAAGAGAGATTTGGGAGAGATTTCACATTCTTGGAGAGATTTCTCATACAATGAGAGATTCGGGAGAGATTTCACATACTTAGAGAGATTTGGGAGAGATTTCACATTCTTGGAGAGATTCTCATACAAAGAGAGATTTGGGAGACATTTCACATTCTTGGAGAGATTTCTCATACAAAGAGAGATTTGGGAGAGATTTCACATTCTTAGAGAGATTTCTCATACAATGAGAGATTTGGGAGAGATTTCACATACAAAGAGAGATTTGGGAGAGATTTCAAAATAGAGAGAGATAGATTGAAAACGATTGAGAGAGGTTTCATGTGTGACAATTGTGAGTGTTTGGCTCCGCAACGCAAGGTCCGTGAACCCCGTTAAGCCAGGTTTTGGGATCTTACACACTCCCGATGAGTATGCAACATTGTTTTATCATTTTTGTTCATTGTTTAGCGCTAAGGCTAAGGAAAATTAAACACACAAAATTTCCAAGTGATGTTTTCTTATTAAAATAGTGAGTTATACGGTAATTACATAACACAACCCTTAATATACAAGGTTTAATTTAGTTGACCGGTTTGACCCGATGACTTTGTTCGACTTAGACTTGACCCGAATTTGACTATTATCACATGTTGCCTCCTTCTGCTTCGGGTAGTCCTTCAATATGTGCCCTTCTTCATTACACCCATAACAAACTTTCTTGTCCCAGGTGCAATCATTGGCATTGTGCCCAGGCTTTCCACACTCAAAACAAGTGACTCCTCCGTCATATTTCCCTAAGTGCTTCTTCTTGCACTTCTCACACCATTTCGCTTCGCCTCCTCTTCCTCCAATGTTCTTCAAATCAGACTTCGAAAATTTGCTTTTCTTTTTGGACCCTAAAGATCCATCGAACTTCCTTTTATCACCAACTTCGACCTTGCCGGCGGCTTTTCCCTTGATCATCTACTCAAAAGACTTTGTAGCCCAGATA